TGGTGTCTTGTTGTTAGGTGCCATCAAGTCGAATACAACTCACAGCGACCACATGTGACAAAAGACTGCCCCATAGAGTTTTCTTGGCTGTAATTTTATGGAAGCAGGTTGCAAGGTCTTTCTCTCACAGAACGTCTGTGTGGGTTCAAACCTTTAACCTTATCTCTTTGGAGCTGATGTGTCTGAGAGGGCAGGGGCACCTTGGATAAGGAATCAACAGTTTAACCCTTTGCCAGCTGAAATCACATCGAGCTGAAATCATGTGATACTTGAAACTCCCTTCCCAAGGGTTGGATTGCTTCCTGGTGCTTAAATTCTTTTTATTTCAGCCCCTTGCTATTAAAGTGTTTAAATAAAAAATATGACTGCCATTTACTGAGTGTCTGTTCAATAGCAAGAGAGTGCTAGTCCATAACTCAGGGATGTTCAAGAACTTGCCTCAGGAACTGAATCTGAACCCAGATTTGTGATATGTGGACCTGCCTTTCCTTCCACTTCACTACCTAAGAGATTAAGGAGATGGGGAAATTATTGTTAGTAAAAGTCGTTATTGTTAGGAGCATAATATGGGACAGCTCCCTGGATAGCACAAATGGTTTGCTGTCGGCTACTAGGGGATAGTGCGTGGTTTAAAACCAGAAAGGGAGTGTGTCAGGGTTGTATCCTTTCCCCATACTTATTCAATCTGTATGCTGAGCAAATAATCTGAGAACCTGGACTATTTGAAGAAGAACGCGGCATCAGGATTGGAGGAAAACTCATTAACAGCCTGCAATATACAGACGACGCAGTCCTCCTTGCCGACAGTGAAGATGACTTGAAGCACTTAGTGATGAAGATCAAAGACCACAGCCTTCAGTATGGATTACACTTCAAGATAAATGAAGTTAAAATCCTCACAACTGGACCAATAAGCAGCATCACAATAAATGGAGAAAAGATTGAAGTTATCAAAGATTTTATATTACTTGGATCCACAATCAACACCTACGGAAGCAGCGTCAAGACATCTGACAACATGTTAAATCTGCTGCAAAAGACTTCTTTAAAGTGCTGAAGAGCAAAGATGTCTCTTTGAAGACTAACATGTGCCTAACCCAAGCCATGGTGTTGTCAGTTGCCTTATACGCATATGAGAGCTGTACAATGAATAAGGAAGACCAAAGAAGAGGTGATGCTTTTGACTTACAGTGATAACAAAGAATATTGAAATTATCATGGACTGCCAGAAGAACGAGCAAATCCATCCTGGAAGAAATGCAGCCAGGATGCTCCTTGGAAGCACAAATGGCCAGACTTCATCTCACCTACTTTGGTCATGTTGCCTGAAGAGACCTTTCCCCGGAGAAGGATGTCATGCTTGGTAGCATGGAGGGTCAGCAAAAAAGGGGAAGACCCTCAACAAGATGGATTGACACAGTGGCTGCAATGATGGTGTGATGGTTAAGTTTGTGTTTCAGCTTGGCTGGACCTGGTTGAGTGGCTGGGCAGCTGGTGGTAGTTATTCCCCATGATGAGACTAGCAGTCAACTCCTTGGTGGGACCTACCACAAGCAGCTGAGTAAGCTGCTTTAGGGATGTGGTCTGCTTCCCGTATGTAAGAAACAGCTTTGAGAATGGTCTCTAGCTTATGGCACGCTTGAACCCTGCATGTAGCTGTGTCGTTCAATAGCCTGTCATGCTCTGCCAACCTTGGGACTTTCAATGGACTCGAATTATGGCCTGCCGTGTGGTTTGGTAACATCGGGATTCTGCCTTTTTACTTGTCAACCTTGGGCTTGTCAGCCTCAGCAGCCAGCAGCTGTCTGAGTGAAGAAAAGCCTCTAGCTCCAGTGGGCCAGGAGCAGGAGGCAGAGCTGAAGCCCTGGGCTGAGGGGCTTTCACTCAGCCCCTAGAGCCTGGCACTTGGAACTCAGACTTCTAGCCTCCTGAAGTGTAGGAGAATAAACTCCTGTTTGTTAAGGTCATCCCATTTGTGGTATATTCTTGTCAGAATGGCACTGGGTAGCCAAAACAGATGGGCTCAAGTGTAGCAAGGATTGTAAGGATGGCCCATGACTGGGCAGTGTTTTGTTCTCTTGTACATAGGGTCTCTGTGAGTTGGAGCTGACTCAATGGCTCCTAACAACAACTAACCAAAAGGTTGGCAGGTCAAACCCACCCAGAAGCACACATTAGAAGGGCTGGCAATCGACGTTCATAATGATTGCAGATGGAGTTCATTTCTACTCTGAAACACCTGGGTCACTGTTTGTTGGAATCAACTCAACAGCAGTGGGTACTTCAAAGATGTACTAACTCATTTCCTTTAAAAAGCACAGGGAGAAAATTAAAAAGTGAAAGAAGTTCTTTCCTCTCCTACCCCATGCCCTACTCAGTGTCATTCCGTCCAAGCTTTGAAGTACATTCCACACACTTTAATGGAGTTAATAAAAATCCTACAGAATATAGCCACATTTGAAGTCTAGATGTCTTTGCAATGTTCATATGAATTAGATCTCCACCTTTGTAAAAAAAATTTCCTCAGGGACAGTGTTTGCATCTGCCCCACCCGCCCAAAGGGAGCAGTTTGCATACAAGGGATCATCTCGGAAGGCTCTCTGTAGTTTTCGGTCATCCCTAGAAACAAAATCACAGCTTCTGTCGCACCTTATCCTGAAGTTCTTCACACTTCGGGGAATGGCTTACCATCACCTGAATATAGAATTCCGGGGGTGTTAGTTTCAAACTGATACGACTGGCATCTTAGAATCTCACAAATGGGTCAAGATGGCCTTGGAAGATGTTTCTCATTCCTGAGAACAGGTCTTATAATTCCCTCTGTTCTGAAAGCCACAGGGCCTCAGACTTGCCACCCAAGGGAAGCAGTCCCTGGGGTTTCTCCAAAGAATTGAATGGAATCCATTCTGAGTAAGGTCTGCATTGTGCCTGATAACACCGAGCCTGCCTAACTGTGAGCAAAAAAGCAGTGTACCTTTAAGACAGTTTCTTCTCCTGATTTCACGTTAATTACAAGATGGAAATGAAATTATTTCTGGATCAGAAGCAACACGCTATAGTGAAGGAGCATTGGTGTTCAAATCAAACTCAGTTTTGAAATCCCAGCAGCCTCTCTTACTAGCTGAATTGTCTCAGGGGGTGTTGGGAGCCTGAGCAGGGATCCTCGCCTCCTACTGACAAAAAATTGAACAGAACAGGCAAAATGGCCATACAAACCAAAGTTTATTGACGAGAAAGGAGAGGGGAGGGGCTCACAAGGGAGAGACGGAGAGGGGCTTTCGCCTACACTAGCCTCCAGTCTCTCCCTGAACAAAGTTCCTAGGGTTCATGAAGGGTTTTAGGCAGGAGAAAAGCATCATCTTTATTCATGAAATGAGTAGGTTCTCTAGGAAAGACATGGGCTTATAAAGATGAGATGTGTGCAGGACGCAGTGCGTGAAGTCCACGGTAAAGACTGTCAGAACAAAGATGGAACCCTTGCAAAGGTTGCTGGGATCTTGACATGACTTATTCAGGGATGTTGCTTATGTGTGATGTCTCTGGACCCTGGTTCGAGTCCCGGTGAGGGGCTCCTGTACTTGACTGCCTGTGGTGGACAGCCACTTTGTTGGTCACGTTCAATTTTACTGCGCATGCTCTGCACCTGGAGAGGAACTTGAAGGAAACTCACGAGGTGTATATCAGCATTTTACAACTGGTCAAGCTTGTGGGGCTTTTGAAATGTAACTCCTTACCTTGCCCTGTTAATCGCAAGCGTTCTCTGGCACCAGCGGCAGTAGTTATGTGGCGGTCCGCACATAGGCTTAGATTCCAAGAATACTGAGTCAGAGGCTGGTGCAGCTGGGTGGGTACCCTGCCTATCTCAGAATGACTTGGTCCCAAGCCCATAACCTCCTTCAGTCTCAGTTTCTTGATCTGTAAAATGGGGGTCATCTCCTCTACCATTTAGCTCGTTGTGAAAATTCAGTGATAAATGTGTGGCCATTTTCTAGCATGGTTGCAGGTTTTAGGTAGGCCCTAAACTGGCAAGAAGAGAACAAAACCAAACAAAACCAGTTGCTGTCGAGTCAGCTTCAACTCATGGCGACCTCACGTGGGTCAGAGTAGAACTGTGCTCCGTACGGTGTTCAGTGGCTGATTTTTCACAATTGATCACCAGGCATTTCTTCTGAGGCACCTCTGGCTAGCCTCAAACCTGCAACCCTTGGCTTAGCCACTGAGTGTTCCATTTCCGCCACCCAGAGACCATGAAGGAGCCACACCTCCTCTTTAAATTCCCATTTATTTAGCAAAGCATATGGAAGCCTCGTCTCTGCCAGCAAAGGCAGGTGCAGCAAGGAAGCTGTCTGTAGCCCCCAGGGTCCCTAATGAGGGGCACTCAGCTGCCTGTGACACTAGTCCAGTCCCATTGCTCAGGAAGCTTAATTTTATGCTGTACCATAGCCCAGTTATAATTGCAGCTGACATCACCATTCAGGAAGAACTTAGCAAAATATTCTCTGCCCTTAACAGGAAATATTAACAGACTTCCAGCACCCTTCTGGTCCTCAAGCCAAACTCAGTCTCAGCAAAGTCACACATCTTTATGGGTGGGGCATGGGGAGCAGAGTCAGGGCGGGGGTGCCCAGGCAACGTCTCCACTCCATTTTTCCAGCACCCTGGAAGACCTTGTCTCCGTGGTAGTGCAGGACACGTAGGTGTTTAATAAATAGTCATCGTGATGATGATGGTGTCTGTCTGGGCTTTAATGCATGTGTTTCGGTTCCATTATTGATTTTGTGCTCCTCAAATTAACCAGATAAAGTCACACACAATTTAAAAACAATTAGTTTGCTTTTGCATCTGTGGTCCAGCGGGAGTTTCTTTTTTCTCCAGTATTAATAAATCAGATTGTACAATTAATGAATTTGTGTCTCAGTCAGTAGTGTTGGGCTAACACAGCCTTTCTCTTTGTTTTTGTTTGTGTGTTTTGTTTTGTTTTCTTTTCTTTTCTTTTTCAGGGTCAAGTTGTGTTCCGGAATGGTGAGAGAATGGGGACCATTAAATTTACTCAGTTTCAAGGTAGGCTCTTATGATGTTTATTCTTTCCAGATGATGAAATCTGTATTTCAGGAACATTGTATTTATATAATAAAATGTATCAGAAGAAATGAAAGTATGATATTTCAAATAAGGGAAATCAGCGTCATTAAGAAACACTTGTCTATGAAAACATTAGTTTTAACTCGGGGAAGATATTTTTCTCAACTGCATTTTGTCCTAGGCGCCTTGGTGGTGCAGTAGTTAAATACTCAGCTGCTGACCTAAAAGTTGGTGATTCAAACCCACCAATTGCTCCACAGAAGGAAGATGTGGCAGTCTGCTTCCATAAAGAAACCCTGTGGGGAAGTTCGGTCCGACAGGGTCACTTTGAGTTGGAAATGACTTGATGGCAGGAGGTTTTGGCTTTTCTTCTTAGGCCAACTCTGTCTTCCCGTGCACTCCTGAGAGGTTAGTCAAAGTGTAGGGAGTAGAGGGGAGTTAATCCAGTTCCAACATTCTGAGAAGGCTTGCGTGGTTTTCATTTTTTGTGAGAGAAAATGTCAACCATGCTCTGAAGTAGGGAGAATAGCATAATGAAACCCATGGACTCATCACCCAGCTTCAACTATTAGCAAGATTTTGCCAGTGTCATTTTATCTTTACTTAGTGGCACTCCCCGCTGCCCTGCATTTTTGTATTTATTTTTGCTTTAGACTTCTAAAGCAGAGCCGGACGTTATCTCATTTTAATCTATAAATACTTCAGTGTATGTTTCTACTAGATAAGGACTTTCAAAAACATAATTGCAATATTTATTATCGCACCTAAAACATTGAACAGTTCTTTATAGCCTCTAATTCCTATGTTGATTCCCCTGATCACCTCAAAAATGTCTCTACAGTCAGCTTGCTTGAGCAGAATTCACACAAGACCACCCCTGGCATTGGATGGATATGTCTCCTTCATCTTTTTTAATCTATAATGAGCCCAAGCACATATTTGTATATGCCATTCATTTGTTGAAGAA